CGGTCGTCACAGGGTTACACCTTCAGCCTTGGTTCCGGCTCTGTTTCGTGGCAGTCTACCCGCTCGTCTTCTGTTCTCGGCTCCAGCTGTCAGGCCGAGATCTACGCGGGGGCCATGGCTGCACACGAGTTACGCTGGCTCACCTACCTGCTGACTGACCTAGGAGAGCCGCCTCGTTCTCCTCCAGTTCTGTACGTAGACAAGAAGGCCATGCTGGCCTTGTGTCGGGAGCATAGACTGGAGCACAGAACGAAGCACATTGCTCTGCGCTACTTCCTTGCTCGTGAGCTGCAGCAGCGTGGTCAGCTGCGTCTTGCTTACGTGGCCTCTGAGACCAACACTGCTGATATCTTTACCTAGGCACTTCCGCCTGGTGATCATCAGCGCTTCTGTACGATGCTAGGTCTTGTGCCTACTTGGCCTCACTTGCTCACGTCTTGTCCTTGCTTGTACTGTGATCTTTCTATACCTGCACTTGCTTGTTTACCTTTATATATGATCTTGCATGTGAACTGGTGTTTTGGCCTTGCTCTAGTGCTCGGATTGTGTGGTGACGTTGTGATCCACCCTGAGCTTGCTTTTCTTTGCTTGACTGGTCTTATGACCTCTTGTTCTCCCCCACTTTGCCTATGGGGGTGTGTCAAACTCATATTATATAGCTTGTCTAGGCTATAGTGGGGTAGAGACTATGGGGTACAAATTCCTAGGGTATCCTACTTGTACCCAACCTTGTGCTAGTTCATTCATTCCTCATTCTTTCACAGTATATATTACATATTTGGATCACTTGTTCTTCAAAAACATGACCATCAGGTTATTACTTTATCTAAGAGCAATAATTGTATTTTATATTTTATGAGGTGGAAATTTCAATTGAAATTTCTGTTCTGTGCTGAATGGGTAACAGAGACAACATATTTCTCGAACGAATCAGCAGTGTTGGCCTCAGAGGCCACGAAAGCAAGGCGTAGCTGACCACGCTGCTGCAGCTCACGAGCAAGGAAGTAGCGAAGAGCAATGTGCTTCGTTCTGTGCTCCAGTCTTTGCTCCCGACACAAGGCCAGCATGGCCTTGTTGTCTACGTACAGAACTGGAGGAGAACGAGGCGGCTCTCCTAGGTCAGTCAGCAGGTAGGTGAGCCAGCGTAGCTCCTATGCAGCCATGGCCCCTGCGTAGATCTCAGCCTCACAGCTGGAGCCGAGAACAGATTACGAGCGGGCAGACTGCCACGAAACAGAGCCGGAGCCAAGGCTGAAAGTGTAACCCTGTGACGACCGCTACGTAGCCTGGTCATCAGCCGAAGAACCATTAGCATGACCTGTGAGGACCACTCGACGTCGCCCTCCAAGCACTAGCCCCATGCCCGACGTACTGCACAAGTAGCGCAACACCCTCTTCGCTGCAGCCATGTGCTCTGGTCGGTGTCTCCCAGGAGCAACAGAGTGTGCAAGGTCAGGTCGAGTGCAGGTCATCAGGTACATGAGGTAGCCAACAAGCTCTCGGTACGAGCCACTCGGCTCTACAGACTCATCCGAAGGCAGAGCTGAGAGCGAGTGGCGAGTAGACAGAGGAGTGGCCTGAGGCGAGGAGTACGTGAAGTCGAAGCGCTGAAGGACCTGCTGCACCATGTGTGACTGAGTCAGGGTAATGGTGCGCTGTGCTCTGTCTCGGGTAATCTGCAAGCCAAAGTAGCTGCGCAGTTCACCCAGGTCTGTGCACGTATGTCTCTTCTGCAGCTCAGACTTCATGTGGGCGAGTCCAGCAGTGTTAGCTGTGGCAAAGACCAAGTCGTCGACGTACACAAGGATGTAGAACGGCGGCAAAGAGGTGTCGGTGCGCAAAAACAGCGACGGGTCGGCTGTAGAAGGAGCAAACCCAAGAGCCGCAAGTGTAGTCCTCAGTGTGTCATGCCACTCACGGGGCGCCTGGCGGAGACCGTAGACTGGCCGCCGGAGGCTCCACTGGGTACTAGGAGGAAACGACCCAGTGAAGCCAGGTGGGCGGCGCAACCAGATCTCCTCGTGCAGGCTGCCCTGCAGAAAAGCTGTGCTGAAGTCAAGAGAGTGAAGCTCGTATTCGCGCTGAGCGGCTATGTGCAGCAGCACCCGAAGAGTGGTCATCTTCGGGGTGGGAGAGAAGGTCTGAAAGTAGTCAACTCCCTGCCGCTGACTGAAGCCTCGAGCCACGTAACGCGCCTTGAAGACAGACGGAGAACCCGGCGGCCGCTTCACCCAGAAAATCCACATGCCACTGACGATGTTCGCCCCAGGTGGGGGAACCTCGTCGACGTAGGTGCCTGTCGACTTCCAGGAAGCCATGTCTGCGTCCATGGCTGACTGCCACTGTGAGGAGTAGGGACCCTCGATCGCCTCAGCGTACGATCGAGGAGTCGGGATGTCTGTTGCATCCGGGTCTCCCTCAGGGGCAATCAGCGTTGACACGAGATAAGGCAAAGCAGCAGCAAAGCACTGGAACTCCTCCTGTCTGTCCTGAAGGACGTCCGTGCTAAGAGCACACTCACCCCCAACGGACGGAGGATAGACAGACTCAAACTCAGCAACAAGACTAGCAGTGTAGTCTAGACGACAGCGAGCAGCAAAGTCGACAAGCTCAGCAACCAAGGCAGACGCAGCAGTGGACTCAAAGGAAGGGTCAGTGACAAAAGTAGCCAGGAGACGCGTGATAGTAGGACTGGCAGCACGAAGAGAGTCCGACTTCGGGTCAGCAAGGACAGGAAGAGAGGACTCTGGAGGAGACGGCAACGGGACACGCAGAGGAGCAGTGGAAGGACGTAGTGCCATCTGATGTGTGCCTGGGACCGCATGAGGACGCGGACGCGTAGTACGACCACTAGTGCGAGCAGCACGAACAGGCGACGCAGGACGAGTCGCAGGCTCACGACGCTCAGCAAGACCTCCAATAGGACCAGTGTAGGGAGAAGGAGCAGGCAGGGGGGAGGCGGGCTGTAACTGTGACTGAAAGTGGACAGGCAGTGGACACTCTAAGGGAGGGGCAGGACTAGTAGAAGGTGGAAGACCAAGAACCTGCTCAAGGAGCGGAACGAAGTACGGCCTCGGCCGCGCATCGCCTCCAGAACCAGCAGGGACAGCACCAGTACCCCCAGCGGCAGCACCAGCGCCAGCAGCACCTCCAGCTCCAACAGCGCCAACTCCAGGACCCTCAGAAGCACCAGCGCCAGCAGCACCTCTAGCGCCAACACCTCCAGCAGCTCCAGCTTCAGCAGCTCTAGCAGCACCAACCCCAGCAGGACCGGTAGCGACAGTACCGCCAGCAGCTCCAGCAGTTCCCCAAGTCCCAGCAGCTCCAGAACCGCCAGGACGAGCCCCTCCGGGACCAGCAGCAACAGTAGTACCTCCAGCTCCAGTAGCACGGCTCCAGCGCCGGGCAAACCACTCGCGCAGCTCATGCAGAGAGAGTGGCTCCCGCCTCGAAGAAGTACCTCGCGAGGCCACACGAGCAGACCCAGCACCCCCAGGCTCAGCACCCCCAGACTCCGCACCCCCAGGCTTCGCACCCCTGGACTCAGCACCCCCAGGCTCCGCACCCTCAAGCTCAGCACCCCCAGACCTGGCACCCGCAGGCTCAGCACCTCTAGCAGCACTAGAGTCAACACCTACCTCAACAGGCTCGATTGCGTCTACCTGGGACACACCTGACAGGGCAGGACCCTGAGGGGAGAGGGGGTCTACCGGGGGAGGACCTGGCGCAAGGAAGAGCGGCGGCGGGGGGAGGGGCGCAGTGTGGTAGGGGAAGAGACGGTGGTAGGGCACCGACTCGTCAAAGGTGACGTCCTGGGAGGACAGAACACGGCGCGAGGTGGGGTGGTAAAACTGCCACCCAGGCGCGTCAGGGGGGAAGCCAAGGAAGACGCAGGGAACAGCACGGGGGGACAGCTTGTCCGCAGACAAGTCGCGAACAAATGCCCGAGATCCCCAGACACGAAACGCAGACGCATCGCCAAACTTCCCCGTCCACCGTAGGGTGGGGGAGGTCTCTTGCAAGGAGACCCGGGGCTGGAGGTTGAGCTGATGCGCTGCGTACTGAACCGCAAACGGCCATAGAAAATGGGGGGCAACCGCATGGATCATGGACGTACGAGCGACGTCCATGACCATGCCAATGCGGCGCTCAGCAATCCCATTTTGCTGTGGAGAGGCCAGAAGCGTGAACGTCTGGCGGATGCCCTGTTCTCGACTGAAGGCTCCCAGACGGGCAGAGGAAAAATCCCCGCCTCTGTCAGAGTGCAGACGCAGAACAGGAAAGTCCAAGCCGAAACTCTCTCTGAGCTGGAGACAAGCTGCGCGGATCCAGTCGATCAACACCTCAGTGACGTCACCCTTGCTGCGCAAGGGGAAGACTGTGGTTTAACGCGAGTAGTCGTCAACCACCAACAGGAAGTAACGCTCGTGACCCTGGCCACGGACGCGGGCGGGGCCCCACACGTCGATGTGAAGATTCTGTAGCGGAGCCTCGGTTGGAGGAAACTCGGAGGATTGAGGAGCGGCGCGCTGCCGCCCCTCGACGCAGGGAACGTAGGTAGGGGCAGGCCCCGGAGGTAGGGGAGGGAGGGACCGGGGGAGACCAGAGACAAGGTAACGGGAGGCCATGCCTCGGAGACGAGGCAGGGAGGGGTGACTTAGGCGGTGGTGCCAGAGGAGGGTCCGGTGGGACAGGAGACGACACGAGCAGGGAGCAGACTCAGGACCAGATCTGGACGCTGCAGCAAACACCTGACCCGACGCAGCTACCTGACCAGACACTGTCAGCATTTATATATGTAACTGCCTGTAGCTGTAGTTAGTGTAGTTATTACAAACTTTGTTAGGTGGTGCACCTTCTTTGTTCACATGCATATATGTTCTTGTAAACCTATAGTGAACACACATACCCAACTTCCTCGACTCTCCTTTGGCACGACTCACTCGATCCTCCTTGGCCTAGGCTACTAAGCCTAGGCCGTCCTATTCTCTCATTACCTATTATGCTAGTATCACGACAGACACAGCAACCGGAGGAGACTCAGTAGTCAGTGTGTACAGGCTCGACCCCGGCTGACGGGTAAACGTGGCCAAGTGTCGGCCCGTCCGAGCACACGTACAGTGGGTCACCCGCTGACTCACAGGAGTGAACTGGTCAACCCCCCCATCTTGTAGATCAGCTCCACTCACCAAGTTCGTAGAGAACGAGGGGAGGTAGAGACCTGACAGGGTGCCAGAGAGGGCTTCCGGGCACGGTAAGAAAGTGGAGAAGCTAGAAAGGACAGGACTGCAAGGGAGACTGCAACCGGCCGACTAAGCGGCGTAAGCGTGGTGCGGTCTCGAAAGAAGGAGCGGGAAGCACCCGAGTCAAGGGTGAAGGTGTGGAAGGCCTGAGCCTACGTAGTACCTGAGAGAGCAGACTCACCAGCACCTAGGGCAGCAGACGCACTAGCACCTAGAGCAGCAGCCTCACCAGCACCTAGAGTAGCATCCTCAATCCCCGGGTCAGGCGGAACACACAGGTAACAGTCACCGTCCTCACTAGTAGACACAACATACATGGCAGCAAGAATAGCATCATAGTCAAGATCAAAGATGGTAACCCCCTCCCTAGACAGATCTCCCTAGCGAGGGATCTCCGAGGCCTCAGAGAACTGGTGACGCCACGCGTCCGTCAGGCGGCCGAAGCAGCGCTGGGTGGAGTGCGGGCCCCCGCACTGCTCACCAACGCGGTCGCCGGTACAGAGGACGTAAGTGCAGGGACCAGTACCCCCACCGCGTTGACGCGCAGCGTACCACTCACGAAGCTGCTGAGGGGATAGGGTCTCACGACTGCGCTGCTGCTGCTGGCGCGGACCACCACCGGATGCACTCCTCTATGCAGAGCCTCGACCAGCTCCACCGCCGCCGCCACCTCCGCCGCCTCCGCCACCTCTGCCGCCTCCGCCACCTCCGCCGCCTCCGCTCCCTCCGCCACCACCGCCGCCTCCTCCGCCTCCACTGCTGCCACCGCCGCCTCCACCCCCGCCACCACTGTCACCACCACCCCCACCCCCTCCATTGCCTCCACCACCACCTCCACCGCCCCCGCCAGCCCCTCCTGCGCCTTGCCCCCCTTGCCCTTGCCGGTGCGGCGTCTCTCGCTAGGGGCAGACGCAGCGCCAACCCCGTAGAAACCAACGAGGTCGGCAGCAGCAGCAGAAGCAACAGAGGGCAAGAGGGGGGAGGGGGAACACCCCTGAAAGACGGGGGTGCGAGGGTCACCACGAGAGGCTCCTACAGCAACTATGCTCTTCTTTGCTGCTAGGAGGCGCTCCTCGAGGAGGTCAACGGTGAGTGTGGTGGGGCAAACTGAGAGGAAGTGGTCCCTGACTAAGCAAAGGGAGTCAGGGAGCCGGGTGACTATGTAGTAGAGGGTGATATACATGGGGGGCGGGGTCTTGGCGCAGAACTCTGCAGGAAGCGCAGCGCGGTAGCGAGTGTCACTAGTGGGGGTGCGTAATGAGATCAGCGACTGTGGGAAAGGCAGCAAGGTCAGGGAACAGGTACGGTAGCATGAGGCGGCTAAGCGCAGCAGTTGCAGGGGAGGAGTAGCGTGCAACTACAGCGTTGTACAAGGTCTGAGCACTCCTGTACTGGCTAAAGCGCGCACGCTCAGTGGTTGGTAAGTGGCGACGCACAACAAGACGGGCAGTAGCATCGCGTGTGGCCCACTGTGAGCGAACAGTGCTGTCAGCAGTAGCAGGCGGGGCAGGGGAGGCACCAGAGGTGAGATCGAACAGGGAGAGTCTGTCTGCCCTATCGCACTGTAGGAACAGCTAGAGGTCATCGACCCAGACCTCAAAGTCAACAGCACGACCCTTAGTATCACAGGTAAGAACACTGGGGGTAGCCATGTCTGCAGTGGCCTAACAGGGAGTGATCTCACCAGTCCGAGTAAGTAGTGCCGGGGCGCGCCGGTAGGAACAGTACTGGCTCGACGGCAGGGCGGCTCGGCGGCTCGGCTGCTGGGCGGCTTGGCTGTCGGGCGGTTCGGCTGTCGGGTGGCTCGGCTGTCGGGCGGCTCGGCGGCTCGGCTGCTGGGCGGCTCGGCGGGTCGGTTGCTGGGCGGGTCGGTTGCTGGGCGGCTCGGCTGCTCGGCGGCTCGGCTGCTGGGCGGCTCGGCTGTCGGGCGGCTCGGCGGCTCGGCTGCTCGGCGGCTTGGCTGCTGGGCGGCTTGGCGGCTGAAGGGGCCGCTAGGGGCGGCGACGAGGCCGCGTAGGGAGGGGAGCGGCGACGGGGCCGCTAGGGGCGGCGAGGGGGGCCGCGTATGTAGGGAGGCGGCGGCGAGGCCGCTGAGGGCGGCGATGGGGCCGCTAGGGGCGGCGACGGGGCTTCGTAGGGGCGGCGACAGGGCCGCGTAGGGGCGGCGACAGGGCCGCGTAGGTAGGGAGGCGGTGACGCGGCCGCTAGGGGCGGCGACGGGGCCGCTTAGGGGCGGCGACGGGGCCGCTAGGGGCAGCGACGGGGCCGCTTAGGGGCGGCGACGGGGCCGCTAGGGGCGGCGACGGGGCCGCGTAGGTAGGGAGGCGGCGACGGGGCCGCGTAGGTAGGGAGGCGGCGACGGGGCCGCTAGGGGCGGCGTCGGGGCCGCTAGAGGCGGTGACGGGGCCGCGTAGGGGCGGCGACGGGGCCGCGTAGGGGCGGCGACGGGGTCGCGTAGGTAGGGAGGCGGCGGCGGGGCCGCTAGGGGCGGCGACGGGGCCGCGTAGGGGCGGCAACGGGGCCGCTTAGGGGCGGCGACGGGGCCGCGTAGTTGGAGAGGCGGCGACGGGGCCGCTAGGGGCGGCGACGGGGCCGCTAGGGGCGGCGACGGGGCCGCGTAGGGGGGCGGCGACGAGGCCGCTAGGGGCGGCTACGGGGCCGCGTAGGGGCGGCAACGGGGCCGCTAGGGGCCGCGAGGGGCGGCACGGGGGGCCGTGGGAGGGGCCTCTAAGGGACCTTGACGGAAGGGCGGCCCACAGGGCGCGCCTCGGGCAGCAGCGACTGGCGCTCCGGTCAGAAAAAATTTCAGTGGTGGGCCCAAGGAAGCTTTCCTACTAGGGAACCTGCTCTATACCATGTGAAAGAATGAGGAATGAATGAACTAGCACAAGGTTGGGTACAAGTAGGAAACCCTAGGAATCTGTACCCCATAGTGTCTACCCCACTATAGCCTAGACAAGCTATATAATATGAGTTTGACATATACCTTAGTAACAGACCAGGTGTTTTAAGAAGTGTAGATTCTTTTTATGGTTTTTGTTTTTTCTCTTCTACTTTTCAAGGTGCAAAAACAAAACTACCCAGAAAAATAAAAGTAGCTCTAGTCGATTGCAATAGGTTGCTCTGCAACCCAAAAAAAAAGAGAGATAGTGTCAAGTCAATTATTCCTACAATTCCTTTCCTCACCCATCTTGTGCCCATTACCGGCATCTCTCTTCCGGTTCATATCTGCGAAAGGGCGTGGTGGTGCTTGCATATGCATTTTGTGAGTCACAATTCGGGAAGCGACTTGAGAAGACCTTGGAGTGAGAAGGGAGGACATTTGAAGGGAGGGAAGGGGAGTGGTGGTGTGGGAATAAGGCTGGAGCAGAGGCGAGGAGGAGGAGAGGAGTGAGGCGAGCAAGGGCAGCGGGCCCGGGGAAATGGGCATGTGAGAAGCGAAAGGACAGACAAGGGGAGTGGGAGGGAATGTGGGGAAGCAGAGTGGGGCGCAGTAGGAGCAGCGCGTGGGCGACGAGGTGTCGAGCAGCAAATGAATTTAGCGAGTGAGTGAGCGATGGGAGGACGTAGGCGGAGAAAGGAGGGATGGGAATCGAGAGAAGACGGAGCTGTGAGGCGGAGACGGGCGGGGAGGCACGGGAGGAGGGAGGGAGGGAGGGAGGGAAGGGGTGGACGGCAGAGGGAAGGACAAGGTGGGTGGGAGGGAGGGACAAGGGGGGAAACGGAGGGAAGGACAAGGGGGAAGGGAGGGAGGGAAAAGGGGGAAACGGAGGGAAAGACAAGGGGAAACAGAGGGAGAAACAGGGCATACGAATGTTTGACAGAATAAGTATGAGATGGAATGAGTGTTTGACGGCATGAGAGGAGGGAGGGAAATGGTGAGGGATTGGAGGAGGGAGGGAAGTGGTGAGGGATGGGATGAGGGAGGCGAAGAGGAATGTGAGGATAGACGTCGGACATTGGGCGGTATGTGGGGATTATTCCTGGAAAGCATGGGGGATGGGCGATATGAGTCGGAGAGAGATGGAAGGAGAGAGGGAGAGGGATGGGAGGAGAAAAGCAGTGAGGAGAGGGAGGACAAAGGAGGAAAGGGTGTAGGGTGTAAAATTGAAGAGGGAAGGGATGCATCAGAAGCAAGGACAACAGAGAGGGAGGATGGGAGGGTAAGCATGGTGACGGGAAGGGAAGATCCAAGCACGGATGAAACAGTGAGTAAGACAATGGGGTAAATGGAGGGAAATGGGCATGGGGGAAACGGAAGGAATGACAAGGGGAGTGGGGGACGAAGCGGGGAAGCAGCGTGAGAAGAGGGAAAAGTGGAGAGGAGCTGAGAGGGAAAGGAGGAGAGGGGCTGAGAGGGAAGGGAAGAGGGGCTGAGAGGGAAAGGAGGAGAGGGGCTGAGAGGGAAAGGAGGAGAGGGGCTGAGAGGGAAAGGAGGATAGGAGCTGAGAGGGAAAGGAGGAGAGGGACTGAGAGGGAAAGGAGGAGAGGGGCTGAGAGGGAAAGGAGGAGAGGGGCTGAGAGGGAAAGGGAAGAGGGGCTGAGAGGGAAAGGAGGAGAGGGGCTGAGAGGGAAAGGAGGAGAGGGGCTGAGAGGGGGGCTGAGAGGGAAAGGAGGAGAGGGGCTGAGAGGGAAAGGAGGAGAGGGGCTGAGAGGGAAAGGGAAGAGGGGCTGAGAGGGAAAGGAGGAGAGGGACTGAGAGGGAAAGGAGGAGAGGGACTGAGAGGGAAAGGAGGAGAGGGAATGAGAGGGAAAGGAGGATTGGAGGCGGAAGACGCGGAGAAGCGCGACGACGAACAGATGGCAGAGCCATTGATGTGACTGCATGCGGAAATGAAAGGATGCGGTCCAGGCAGGAGAACTGAAACCGTGGTGTGGAGACAGGCGGAAGTGCCGCGCGCTACAAGGTGAGCGAGTGACGGAGTGAGTGAGCACGGGAAGAGAGTGTGTGAGCGACAAGACACATTGAGGGACGGGAGTACGTGAGCCGCGAGAGTGAGTGTGCGGAACGGGAGTGTGTCAGCGACTGGACCTAGGTCATCAGCTGACGCAAGACGATTGCCCTGTTTGGGCAGTGGGTTCGTTCGAGCGACGGGGGGAGTGCGCGACGGATCGAGTGAGGGACGGATGACGAGCGGCGGAGAGGTAAGGGATGGACGGGAGGGAGGAGAACGACAGGAGCGAATGCGGGACGGAAGCGAAGCGCGGGACAGAAGGGATGGAGGGTGTTGGGCGACGGGAGGGACGGGACTTACGTCCGCAACGGGAAGGACGGGAGGGACGGAGGAGGGACAGAAGGCATGACTGGGACGGGAGTGACGGGAGCGGCGCCCAGGACAGATGCAATAAGGGCGACGGGAAGAGCGGGAGCGATGAGAAGGACTAGAGAGACGGGAGGGACGAGTGCGACCGGAGAAGGAGGAGCGGCGGATACAAGAAGAAGAGATGGATTATGAGATTTCACTTGCGCCTACCTCGAGCGATCAGATGAATTGGGAGTGTCGTGAGGGACGGTGGAGACCTATGCTATGCAACCCGACGGAAGTCCCCACCTAAAGTCCTAGGTGCTGGGCGTAGTTATCGATAGCTGGCCATGTTGTGGGCTACGGAGCCTACTACTAAACGAGTCTAGAAAGGTAGCTTCAAGCTTTAAGTTTCTGGAAGTGTGAACAGTGGTGTCAGAATTTGTTTTTTCTGGCGAGGGTCGTCAGTGGTTTTGCTGTTGTGCTTTTATCCAATCACATTCCTGCGCGTCAAACACCTTCACAGTGGATCGCGAGAGAGCCCCACAGAAAAGCAGGTTACCTTGTTCACCTGTGAAATCATGTTCAAGAATCTTGAACTTGAACCCTCGCCATTCTAGACTCGGGCTTTAATCAAAAATTGGTTTTTGTAATCCATGTTAGGAAACGAATTGATTTCGATGGGAATGACAAGAAATTCACTGTTCCTCTGATTGATCAGGCCCCTGCTCTGGTTTCGTCTTATACCAAAACATAACCTCCCCTTAGGGTGAGCTCAGCATGTCTGATTCTCGGAATAGGTAAAGCAGAGTATAAAGTCGATTACCCTGGCAATGCAATAGGAAGTGTCTCATAGCTCGACGCATCAGTCCTATCCTCATATCAAGATTGTACTTTTTGCCTGGTAAAACTAGCGAGAGGTTTTGGGTTTAGGGGAATTTTCAGTGGGAGGTTGATATGAGGTTCTCTTGATACGAGGATAGGAATACGCTCACTCATAGCAGTGGAGCTACGATTAGGCCGGCCCATTCCCCAGCTCCGCCTTCTCAAATTTGCACCACCATGCTCTTGTGGACACCACTATTCTGACCCTACCCTCCCTAGCCATGCCCTTCCCTGCCCAACCTCCATGAGCCTACTCATGTTCACGACGCAGTAAAGCATGAGGTCGCTAGGATAGCATGAGAGATTGGGTTCACTGTTTGTGTCGAGGGCCCTACCTTGCTGCCAGATCATGTGGTGGATATCAGTTTCGTTGACCCTTCTGCAGGAATCAAGTGGGCTCTAGATATTTCCGTCATTGACCCGATGCAGTAGAGGGCACCGGCTATGGCGACTCAACGAAGCAGAGAGAATCACAGAAGCGGCATGCCAGGCCCTCAGATTCGTTTTAGGGGACCCTGATGCCTCAGAGCAAATCCCCAGAAGTAGGAAGAATGCCTTGATTTTTTCAGGGCAAGATGTTAGGGAAATCCTGATTCTTCAAGGCAGCGCAAGGTTTCCTTCCTGGTGTATCAAGTGGCTGTTCATGCCCCCAACCTGATTTCTAGAGGATAGCTTTCAAGTTCGAAGTACTACCGTACCTATTTGTTGTTGTTCTCTTGTCCTGTTAAGCGACTCAACCCGACCCTGCATTCTGCCATGACAAGGGACGCATGTTTTGTCAAACTTGTATGCTATGGTCTGTGTAGGCTGTAGCGGGGTAGACAATATGGGGTACAACACTTTTAGGTTTTCCCACTTGTACCCACCTGTTTGCTAATTGATTCATCCCTTGTTCTAACTTTCAACACGGTTTTAGAGCAGGTTCCCTAGTGGGAACGTTTTTTTAGGGCCCACCACGAACTTTTTTTTTCTGCCCTGCCCGAAGCGCACTGCCCTGCCTGCGCCCTCGAGCGCCTGCCCTCCCCGCGCCCTCGAGCACCTGCCCTACCCGCGCCCTCAAGCGCCAGCCCATCGCCCTGCCCTGCAAGCCACGCGCGGGCCTGTCCTGCACCCGCGAAGCCGCCTCTGGACCCCGGGGCGCTGCCCCTGGACCCCACGACGCCGCCCCTGGACCCCGCAACGCCGCCCCTGGACCCCGCGACGCCCCTGCGGGACCCGGGCGTCGCCCTTGCTCGTCGCGACGCCCTTGTAGGACGCGCGTGGCGCCGCTCCTACTCGTCGCAAGCCCCTGCGGGACCCGGGCGTCGCCCCTGCTCATCGCGACGCCCCTGCGGGACCCGCGCGGCGCCGCTCCTGCTCGTCGCAACGCCCCTGCGGGACCCGCGCGGCGTTGTTTATATTTGTTGCGGCACCCCCAGGGCGCCGTCCCTGCTCGTCGCCCCCCCCCCCCCCCCCCCCCCGCGGGCCGCCGCGCCCTGCCTCATCTGCGGCCCGCCCGCGCCCTGCCCCACCCCCGCCTGCCCTTGGGGCGGCCGCCCCTGCCCTGCCCTGCCGCCGTCGCGTTTGCAACCGCCGTCGCGGCCCCGCAGTAGCCGCCGTCGTGTCTGCAGCCGCCGTTGCGGCCCCGTCGTAGCCGCCGTCGCGGCCCCGCTGTAGCCGCCCGTCGAGCGCCTGCAGCCACTCGTCGAGCGCCGGCCCTAGCCTACCCGTGCCCGTTGAGCACCTGCCCACCGCCACCGGTGGCATCGGCCCTACCCGCCTCTACTGAGCACCTGCCCTACCCGCACTGCCCGCGCGCCTGCCTTACCAGCGTGCTGCCGCGCGTGCCGCGCGTGCCTGCCAACCGAGCCGCGCCGCTCGGCCAAGCCGCGCCGCCTTGCCCTACTGAGCCGCGCTGCTCTGCCCTGCTGCTACTGCTGTTCCAGCTGTCACTGCTAGTACTGCTGCACTGCCCCTCCTGCTGCTACTGGCGGTGGCCAGATGCAGCTCCAGTGACGTCCGCGTGAGTCCCTCACACCGCAGCAGCTTCGTGAGTGGTACGCTAGTTGGGGTTGTAGGGGTGGCCGTGGTGGGAGTCGCCCTAGAGCGGGTCGTTCGAGAGCTTCTTTTAGTGGCCAGGTGCAGCTGCAGCGGCGTCCGCGCGAGATCCTTTCGCCCCAGCAGCTTCGTGAGTGGTACGCTCAGAGTAGAGGGTCACAGAGTACTGCTCGCTGCCCGTACGTCATTCACACAGGTGCTCGGGCTGGTCAGCCTTGCGGGACAGTTGGTCACATAGAGTCCTGCTGCTTCTCCTGTCTGAGCGACGCCTGGCGTACAGAGTTTGGCGACGACGCTAAGCTCCCCTTGTGGCTGGAGGTGCTTAGGCGGAGGGTAGAAATCTTTGATCTTGACTATGATGCTATCCTCACTGCCATGTTTGCATTGCCTAATAGTGCTGAGGGTGCCTGTTACCAGTGTGTGCCGCCTGACCCAAGTATAGAGTCTGCTGCTCTAGGTGCTGGTGCGTCTCCTACTCCAGGTACCGGTGAGGCTGCTGCTTTAGGCGCTAGTGAGTCTACTGCTCCAGGTGCTGGTGAGTCTGCTCTCTCTGGTACTGCACCTGCTGCGGCCTTGCACACCTTCACGCTTAACTCAGGAGCTTCACGCTTCTTCTTTCGCGACTGCACCACACTCACGCCGATCAGTTGGCCGGTTGCAGTCTCTCTGGCTGATCCCTCTGGGGGTCCAGTCCTTGCACACTCCTCTGCTGTTCTGCCGTGTCTGGTGGTCCCGTCATGCTCACTGTCGGGTCTTCACCTCCCCTCGTTCTCTACGAACTTGGTGAGTGGAGCTGACCTTCAGGACGTGTGGGTTGACCAGTTCACTCCTAGAGGTCAGCGGGTGACCCACTGTACGTGCACACGGACGGGCCGACACTTGGCCACGTTCAACCAGTAGCCTGAGTCGAGCCTGTACACAATGACTACTGTTTCTCCTCCGGTCGCTGAGTCTGGTCAGGTCGCCGCGTCGGGTCAGGTGTTTGCTGCAGCGTCCAGGTCTGGTCCTGAGTCTGCCCCCTGCTCATATCGCCTCCTGTGTCACCAGACTCTCCTCTGGCACCACCGCCTTGGTCACCCCTCCCTGCCTCGTCTCCGAGGCATGGCCTCCTGTGTCCTTGTCACTGGTCTTCCCCGATCTCTCCCTCCCCTTCCCCTGGGGCCTGCCCCTACCTGCGTTCCTTGCGTCGAGGGGCGACAGCGCCGCTCTTCACTCCTCCGAGTTCCCTCCGACGGAGGCTCCCTGCAGACGCTTCACATGGACGTGTGGGGCCCAGCCCGCGTCCGTGGACAGGGTCACGAGCGCTACTTTCTACTGGTCGTCGACGACTACTCGCGTTACACCACAGTCTTCCCCTTGCAAGGGTGAGGTCACTGAGGTGCTGATTGGCTGGATCCGCGCAGCCCGTCGCCAGCTCAGCGAGAGTTTCGGCTCGGACCTTCCTGTTCCGCCTCTGTAGTCCGACAGAAGTGGAGAGTTTTCCTCCGACCTTCTCAGGGCCTTCTATCGTGCGGAAGGCATCTGCCAGACGTTCACGCTTCTGGCCTCTCCACAGAAAAATGGGATTGCTGAGCGCCGCATTAGCATGGTCATCGACGTCGCTCGTACGTTCATGATCCATGCGGCTGCTCCCCATTTTCTGTGGCCG